GTGGCAGGTGAGACTGGCGATTGTGGCCGCGCTTGCCAATGCAGTGCCGTGCAGGGGTCAGGGCAACTTACCATCTCTTCCCCCCTTTTATGTTGGGGGGAATGGGGAGGTGGTTGTGCAGTTGGCTTGATCGGGGGATGGTCTCTGACATGGAGCACCAGCAAACCAGCTCACTGAGTTCTGCTTAGTGGCTGTGACAAAAGGACGTGTTTGAACAATGATGGTATCCGTCATCATTCTCATGTCACTTACAAGTTCACAATGTTAATTCACATTCATCCCCCTACCTAAACTGGCAGGTCCGGCTGGCAGCCGTCGCCGCGCTGGCTGACGCGGTGCCGCGCGGTGGGCAGGCCATGGTCCCCCAGCTCATGGCCTGCTGGGACCCCCACTCGGTCCCATACGCTGAGTTCTACGAGCCTTCCGTGAGCGTCAACTTCTTCGCGCGGCTCGCGAATGACACTGCAGTCCCGGTGCGCCTGCCTGCCCAACCTGCTCATGGCAGCCACTTTAAATTCTTGTGTGCTGCTCAAAAAATTATGCAGTGCAGGCATGCACACCTGCAGGGTGTATAGACCGTGAGTCAGGTGTGATCCATGGCCAACCATTGCCACTCTGATGTCAGGAACAGGGGATGAGGCCCCATCATCCACCTCCTCTTCATCTGCACAGTCCTCTTCCCTCACACTGGGGAAGCTCAAAAATTATACGAGGAGAGGACATTCGTATTGCTAGGTCAGCACTTCTGGGATTGTGGCCGAAAGAGCAGAAAATGTGTTCAGGTACGCCAAGCGTTCCTATCAATGGTGGCGGCGTGGCTGGGGGCCGAGTCAGCAGATGACTCACCTGCTGACTCACCTGCTGACTTGCGCCCTACCATTGACTACGGAAAGGAGATGGCTGCCTACAAGGAAACACTCTTTCCATACCTGTTGGCAGCCCTGGCCGATGAGTCTCCAGCTGTTACAAGCGAGGCAGTCAACGCTCTGGAGCGGCTAGGCGCCATGTTTGATGCGGTGAGCGCTCAGAGAAACAGCCCCCTAGAATGCTCATGTCTGCTTTCTCGACAGTATTACAACACGATGGTGATGTGGAAGACATCAAGGTGAAATGATGCTGCTGAGGAGGTTTCCAGCTGCTTGCAGTTTCCAGCATACTGCAGAGCCCAGCATCTAAGGCCGCATGTGAGATGGGTGTAATGTCTGTAGGCGGTCCAGGAGGACACACACTCTGATTTGGCAGAAGGGAAGGAGAATTGCCAGCAATTTGATAGAGGGAGCGTCTTCTGGGGCATGGCAACGGCAGATGGGTTTGTGAAGGCTGCGTCACAGGACAGCTGCCGAACACAAATGCTGCTACCTCTCCTGCGGGCTCCCTTCCACTCTCGGCCGAGCGCATGGGCCAGAAAGCTGGTGCAGGTACCAAAGTAAACGGCCATTTCGAGTATGTATACCATTGCCGAATGATTGCATTGCCAGCAGGGCAATTGAACCCGGTTTTGCCCGGCATTGAGCTCTATGGCTTACAAGAACTGAGAGTGCATCATCGTTACATGCGCAAATGGGAACATGCAGGATATCTCAGCCGGATCGCAGCATCATGCAATATACATTCAGTGCTAACAAATGGTTGCAGTTGAGTTTTTGTTTTGACGACACTCAAGTGTACAGACAAGCACAGCTTTACACTTAACAAGGCTTCTGTGGGGAGAAGAGCTACAGGTGTGATCTTGTGCAGGCACACATGTCTGAGCTGCTGAGCGGCTTATCGGGGGACATGCTGGGATGGTCGGCCGGGCCGCGCACACGGGCCGCCAAACTGCTGCGCGTGTGCATGCTATGCTGGGAGGCCGCAATAGCAGATCACCTGCAAAAGATCGCACCGCTTCTCATCAAGGTGTGCTTGGATTCCCTGACGTTTTTGCGACGATGATTCCAAACTCAAGAGATATTTGTGATGCAAATCAATTTGAAGCGCAACCTGCAGTCAAGCTGGAGGGTGCCAAGGGGATGTTGCAGTAATTTTACTGCATTTGAGTACTTCATCACACTCAGACTTCTGCCATGTCCTGTCAGTCCCGGTGCCTTAAAGGCATGACTCCCTTACAGCTGGGAATGACTGACAAATGATGATGTTGTGTTGGTAAGCAATTATGTCTGTGCAGCACACAATGTGGCACAGGTCCTTGCCATCAACATTTTTCAGGCGAAGGTAACATCCAGAAGTATTGGATCCCAAGATGAAAGGAACGAGGGCCTTGGTGTGGTGCAGCGATGAAGACTCATTGTGGAGTGTGAATCTGCTCAGGGTATGGAGGATGAAAAGGCACGGGATAATGTGAAGGCTTGTTGTTTCCTCGTCGGCTTCCATGTCCCAGAAAGTGCGTGGACAGCTGTGATGCAGCCTTGGATGGATCAAGCAGGGCCTTCTGGGGCAACCTTGCCAGCATGCCACGCTGTGTGGCAGGCCATGCACCAGGGGCTGTACCACTGCCACCAGGCAGGAGGCTCAATAAAATGTAACAATTGACTTCAGTGCCCTATCTCATGTGCACAACACAGGCATGTCCCTTGAGTCGGGGATGCCTTGTGGTTTTACAAGGTGCATCACATAAGACATGCACCTCGTACAATCCGCATGGTTGGAAGCAATTATGTTCGGTCTTGACTTGGCCTGGCAACAAGCGGCAGGAATTTTTCAAATGGTGCGGTACATGTACGACTGAGATTGTTTAGCTCTTCATTAGTTGCTAGTAAGCCTCTCGCATGTTATTGATGTCCATCTCATCAAAAATATGGCCCCATTTTTCCGAATTAGGAATTGCAGTATTTGCAGAAACAAGACCAGCAGCTGTGGGGGTCAAATGGAAGCTGCAAGACATGATCTGCATGACAATACTTCCAGCCAGCAATACGAAGGTGACAATTGTCAGCACACGATCGCAGGAATGCTTCATGATGAGGTGCAGGAATGACAGGCAGTTCAAAGACACAGCAGCTGGACATCCAGGAATCACTCGCTTGTTTGTTCCTGTGAAGCCCAGAGGGCAGCCATCCATGTCAGTACTGACTGACCACCAACTCTCCTCTCCCAGACCTTTTTCGCCAGACTTCCGCTGTGACTTGCTGGGTCGGAGCAGCAGCGCACTCAATTGGAGGTGTAGGAAAGGTAGCCAGTCCAGAACAGGCCACAGGTGGACATGTAGAGCACCCGGTACTGTAGTGGTACCAGATAGAAATTGACCATTGAGGCTGGCACCCAAAACTTCCACCCTGCAACCACCCAGACCAATGTTCTGAGCCTTATTGAAACTTTTTGAGCCTACTCAGAGGTGGGACCCACTTTGCATGACTGCCCCCTTTCCTGGAGGTGTTGCTGAGCACAGCACATGCAGCGGGACATGCTCTTGAGTGCAGATCTGAGGGTGCACAGCGGCCTATGCCGAATTCTCAGACACTTCAAGTCAGGAGGCTGATCATCGTTCCGTGCTGTCCGCACTCCTCAAGCCTGTCAAGGTACTCCGGAAGCATGAAATGCATATACTCCAACCTTCAACAGCCTGTTTGTGGCTTTCTGGCACGCAGTTTTGGACCCTGTATTCAAGGGTACTGATGGCGCTGCGCATGGCGTGGGATTGTATGATGGGGTAGCATATGAGGAGGCCTCACCATTGATGAGGGTTGGCACAAAGTCGCGCTTCACCTTCTCAGGCAGTCTGTCCAGCTGCTTGGTGAAGGCATAGTTCCACAGCAGGACAGCACTCAACACCTGCATGCAGTAACCAGCATTTGAAACCAGTGACCGGAGAGCCCTACAGGAATGTCCAACAAAGATGTGTGATGCACAATCAAGGGTGGCAATGAGAAGGACCCTACCACAGGGCCAAGTGCTGCTTGGTTGAGGAACACCTGCAGAGGAAATCGCATACAGCCTTAGCTACCACAGATGAAAATTACAAATCTGATACAGCAATTTGCCAGGGACAGGTGGGATGTATCCAACGGCCCTTTGAAAGGCCTGCATATTCATCAATGAAGGATCTGCTCGTTCAATCATTGTGGGAACTGACTCTGGGCGGGACTCCCACACCTTCGAGGCAAAGTGGGGCACGCTCTTTGTGGGAAAGAGCTTGTCCAAGTACTTGTACCAGTAGTGCTGGTACGGGCCATAGAAAGCAAAGCCAAAGCCCCCCATTCGGGCTGCCCTGACCGCATCAAGGCCTGTACTCTGCCCCGGCAGCTTCTGCATGCATGAATATGTTCATGTCTCTACATGCACGAATTGGACTTGCGTGGTTGCTGGAACAGGTACAATGTAGAGCAACTCAATAGCATGTGCGCTAGTTGATTAATCTGCTGCAGTGGAGGTGCGAACCTTCCCATGACGCTGCGTGAAGTACTGGGCTAGTAAGTCACCGGCCAGAGACAGGGCCCCTGTAGTCAGTGCAGCTTTCAACACCGCATTGCCCACTCCTGGCTGCGTTCAAACCATTCACATGCTGACTTGGTGCGAATTTGAGAGTATAGTGAATGGTGGGTCGACTTAATTAACGTGACAAACCTAGATGGGCACATCGCTTGTTCAGCCTTTCAAGAGTCATATGCATCTCACCTGCACAGTTGAGGATGAGCTCGTTGACGAAGATTTGCTAGGCTGACAATGGGTCGGCCTCCTTGGACCCAAAGGCCCAAAGTGTCGAAACGATGCAGCGCCAAAGCCCCTCATGCTGAAAATGCGGGGTAGAGGATACGAGGTTCAGCTATTGGTGCAGCAGTAACTTGCAATCTGATGTAGATCGTGTCTTTCAGATGCTGATCAGGAGAGAAACAGTGCTGGGAAGTACGGCAGGTGTGGAGGTCAACCTGCTTAACCGAAGATTGCCTACGATGCCTACGTTGATGATTGCTACCAGTTGACGATTGAAACTTGAAGTGCGCTTTGAAGGAAATCTACTTTTTATCCTGGCTGTCAAAAATATGAAGGAGGAGCAATAAAGTAAGTTCTCCCTGCGGGGCTCGAACCCGCGACCTTGGCGTCATAAGCACCACACTCTACCGACTGAGTTAAGGGAGAGAGGTATCGACACTCGCCGGGTCCCTCGAAGGAAGCAACAGTGCCAGTTTGGCATTTCCTGCAATATATAACTCACCTTTCTGTGTCTTTGAAAACAGATGTGCACCCCAATAGGGCGTCTGGATCGGCACGAGCAGAACGGACATCGCACTCTCGATGATTGTGCTGTCGTTGATCTCGCTGATGCCGTTGTCTGGTCATGTCTCAACGAAAATGCAGTCCAACGTTATCTGATCAGTGTTTCGAACCCAGAAAACAGCATGCGGAGCCTTGGAACGCATGCGGATTTTCCTTGAGAAGGAGAAATATCTTGGAAACATGTAACTTCACTGAAATATGGACGACTATCAACCTCCGCATCTCTCGCTCGATGAGCAGCAAGGCAGGCCTGACGTCAACATGCTAGCGACTGCGTGTGACAGTGTTTGCATTCTCAATCGCAACATGAAATCTTGCGCAGGCAACTTATCTTTACATCAAGAGCTAGTCATAACAAGGAGTGTGCGGACCATGCAAGTACAATGCAGCCCAGCTGGGTCAACCCTGTGAAAAAAAAGTGTCAATTTTTGCTCAATCAATTTCTGAAGGTAACTTCACGGGCCTGTGTACATAGGAGTGTGCCAAAAACATTCATGACTTGACTGGGCAGCTGCTTTACGACTCGTGGTGGTGATCTTCTACCTGCACATGGTCCCCATTCGCAGCCATTGCTCTGTGCGCATTCTTGGTTCATATGCACCATAATATGACAGCAGTGGAATAATCTTATTACAAGCTCCCTCACAAGACCTCATGCGAATGCAGCAAATTTATTCACGCCGTTCTAGCGATGACATTCCCCTTAAAGACTGAAGAAAAGAAGCTACAAACCTGACTGGATTGATCAGCAATCTCATAATTATCTGGGTGCGCGTGGAAAACTTTCTACAGGTACAGGACAGTCATACAAATACATTGCTCAAACGGCATGTTGCACAATGAATGTACACTTCTTGCACAGCTAAAATAGAGGTGCAAGTTACAGCATCTGGATAAAAAGTTGGGTTTTTGGCGCAGAAACGGCGCAAGCATCAAGCTTTATGGTTCCTGTCACAGTTCCAGCTCTGTTCACCAAGGACAGGAAGTGTGGGCAAAGCAGCTGCAGACTGCCACTGTGTAACTCAGAGATATTCTATATCTTCACCCGAGCATGAGTCTCCAGGATAAGCGGGAAACTCCAGATCGAGCACCATTGAGTAGAAGATCAACGTTTCCGCTGTGGTGGCCACAGTCATTTCGCCCTTCTTCCCTGTGATCACTCCAACCACATGTCCGGTGGTGTCCTGCATGTCATCGAAGCATTCTCAGAGAAGTACATATACCATTCATTGGCCGTTGACACATACTTTTATGAGGTATGCACCAATGTCAGGGAGACTCGTACCAGCACAGGCCCGCCAGTCCATGACTTCCTGAAGGGTGTAGTGACTCCAAACTCATGCATGCCCAGCGAAAGCGTTGAGCCCTCGCCCATGTGGAACTTTGCAGCCTTGTCCTTTGCATTTGAGAACCCTGCAATGAATGCCGCCCAGGTCCCGCTGGCGGACCCCAGCTACAACACACGAAAAAAATGGTCGGCTCCATAGGGTGGGTGAGTGAAAAGTAAACAAGTTGTACTGCTATAATGACGAACACGCACCGGGATTCCTGCAGGTGCTCTGCCATCTCCATCCAGCTTGATAACAGCCAGGTTGCTCTCCTTTCCCATAGACTCCGCAAGCTCGTTTGGGCACAACACCTGTCACAGCATCCAGCACTCACACCTGCTGTTGTACCTCAGTAGTGAATAACTTCTCCGTGTTCAAGACTTCAGCAGGTTATATGCACATTTACGTGGTGAATATTAATGGCTATGTGCAAACTCACCTTGCCAGGCAACCACTGTCCATTTATCCTCGCAAGCAGTTGGGTTTCCCGAGATGTGCTACGCTGAACATCCGCAACATAACGGCTTGTCGCAAGAATGCCACTCTCATGATTGTACATGGCGAAACAGGTGGCGTACGATATGTTTGTACCGTCCATTTCACAGACTCTCACAGGAAACGTGAAATTCTCAGCACTGGCCTTGGCAGCGGCCCGAGCACGAGTCACGTAGTACTGGTCTGTCCACTGCTTAGAAGCAATGTCGGCATTGTACTTGTAGCTGCTCTGATAAGCCTGCTTGGCAATTTCTCGAGTCTGGACTTCAAAGGGATTGCAGCTAGCCACTGTATTTTCGCTCATATTGAGATACCTCTTGCCAGCCTTGTTTCGTCCTTTCTTAGATGCTTAGGCTGAGCTGCTGAGCTACTCAGGTGTAACACCTGTGTTCCACTGCCAGTGGCAGCCGGGTTTGTCCTAGATAGACAGATCAGGGGTTCCCTCTCACTGAGAGATCTTCTTCTTTTCCCCTTTTGTACCAATATGTCTCCCCCAACGGCTACTATTATTATCATAATGTGAGTGTTTGCAAGTTTATCTGTGAATGTATGGATGTCATGTTGGGTGCTGACTCTGACGATCAGAGTCAGACATCTGATCAGCCCTAGGTGGCTGGAAAAGGTGTACTCGACTGACTGACTGACTGTTGTACGGAATTAAATGAGGTCACATTCAAACAATTGTAAAGCAATTTTGGGAGACCAGGATGCGGAGCATGTGCTTGACAGGCTTCAAATTCCCTGTACATTTTGTCATATGGGATAGTACTCAGCTGACCTGCAGGTACTCATAGTACATGCAGGTGCGGGCAAGTTGCAACTAGCTAGAATGGGCTCAGTACTGTCATGCATGCAGAGAATTTCTGGGCTTATGGTGCTACAGACTTGTTACCAAGAGTTCCTGACTGAAATCCACAATATGTGTTGCCCAAGGACTCCCATCATTACAGGGGCCGTCTAACATGTCAGTCAAGGGGATTAAAACACACCATGCTATCATGATGTGATGTGTTATAGAGCCCCGGGGGCTCAGCCCCCTAGTCATTTGCAGTCAAGGGACCCCTCTTGCAATTGAACCTGCCTGACCCCTACCTGGACAATGCATGCGTGGTCTAATGCCGTCTCGCACAATATAATAATAATAATCAATAATAATCCTGTATGAGGCGAACCCGAAGCCTTGAAGGCCGTAGGGCATACACAGGTCCGTCTGCAGCCGGTTGCCTGGGGCCATATGCACAGGCTTGCAATTGCAGCCTTGTCGACTCGCAAGTGCACCAATGAAACCTAGCAGGTCTACACCCCCTTCTTACAAGATTGCTGAGGGGCCGTCCTTAGCAAACCACCCGAAACTTCAGGACGGTTGGGTAGCGCCGTTGTAGGTGTCTCAGACACACACCTGCAGTATTGGCTGCGCGCTACACCAACCTCTGACACACGTCCGACCCCCCACTTTGCAAGCTCTAGCAGAAGATGCACATGCGCATGGCCACACTTGATCGCGGCCACACCTGACCGCCGTACGCGATTCTGACCTGTCATGTTAACTTTACTATCATGACAAGCCCAGGGCACGTGCCGGTAAGTCTTCTTGCATGTACATGATTTGCTTGCTGAGGCAGGCTTCTTCTTCTGGCGCTCGCATGCCCTTGATTGTTAGTACTGATATCTCTTGGGTTGTGCATATGCAGCTTGATCTAGCCTGCACAATCGTCATGGGTCTGTTCCCAGTGCCAGAGCAGGCAGAAATATAGCCATGCACCGTTTCTCACTTGAAGCTATTGCTGTAACTGTAAAATGACTTATCTCGATTTGTGATCACTCATGAGAAAATGTGGAGGCCTCGTTGTCATGACTATTCCTGTTGTGGGATAAGCACTAGCTGGACAGTACACACCAGTCCCTCGCCACCTTTGCAGCAGCTATGCCTCATGCGCAGATGTGCATAAGGCAATAGACATCTCTGGATACGTCCTGCTGTCCCACGAAAATTTTACAGTTGCAGGCTGCCGATCAGAAAGCGTGCAATTCTGAGGCTGCTGCATAACAAATGTCGTCCTAGTACAGACGGGAGGTACAATACAATCACAAACCAATACACAAGCCACATGTATGGTGGCGAATCCTGTACATATGATACACGACCGTTCAATGTTGTTCACATCAAGTACAAGATCTGTATGACGCCGCACAAGTCGCCTCCCTTAAAAGCTGTACGACACCTACAATCAATCAGGACAGCCATCAACACAATGTACTGCCGTGTCAGAGTGTGGGGTGTTCATATGAACTGTTCTCAGCCAAAAGTGGCGGCATAAATTTTGAAGCTAGGGCTTCCGGTAGGCTGGATGTCACCTTCAAGTGCCACTGCTCAGCGCTGAGAACCCCATCACCAACATAAAAAAGCTAAGCACATCAGCCCGGGGACCTATCACCAGCTTGACGACGTGACCCATGCCCATTTGCACCATGCCGACTAGGTGCTTGTCTTGGTCCTGCAATTTCCCGGCAGTGCGTTAGTCGCAACAATGAAGACAGGGCCAACGGCGTCATAATGTTTTGCATCAGTTTCATTTGCTTTTATCGCAGCAGAGGAGAGTCTTACAATTATCGGGCCTCCGCTGTATGCCTTGTCAGAGTGCGTGGCAATGCTCATGTTAAAGCGTCCGTGCCAGTTGATTGTTCCCTCCGCAGTATGGAATGCTGGGACGACGACATCTGTGTTCATGTAGTACCCCGCGGCAATGCCCCATGCGCATGGCGGTGTGGGCGCCAGCTGCAGAAACAGTGCAGAGCACGTTGCTAGTTTTCCATCGACATCAAAACATGCCAGGGCCACTAGAGACTCAGACACACCTGCAGTCCCGGTGGGGCGTCTGTATTCACGAGATCCAGGAGTACAAGGTCAAGATTGCGGCTGACGCGGTCTACCGCGTCGTTCAGTGGCTTGACTACCTGCCGCAAACGAAAGCTGTTGCCCTCTCCATTTATGAGAACAAGGACTCGCATCGACTTACTATCAGGAAGCACAATATTCTA